CAAGTAGTATTAGTAATATTAGCAATATTAGGAGTATTAGTAATTAGTAGTATATTGTCTTGAATTTTTATTAGGTGAAGCGTCGTCCAGCCTTTTTTTTCTTGACTTTCGTCGCAGCTACTGATTTCATTGGCCATCAGTTAGAAATATTATCTTGAATTGTTATTAGATGATGCATTGTCATCCATTATTAATCATTGACTTGCAATTTTTAATTTTAATTTTAGTTGCTTCATAACAATAGCCATTAACAAACAGCACGAATCAAAAATAAAAAATAATCTTTTGATATCACTCTTAACTGAAGAAACCTGTTTTATTATGACAACTGATTTAACAATTAAACAACCGAAATCCACGATCGTAGCATAAATCGAACGATATGATTTTGTTTCTTATTTTTATCGAATGCCCGTTATTATTATTTTCAATGTAATTTTTCTAGACCCGTTAAACGTAAGACCATTCATGGTCTTATGTTAACCAAAGAATTTGACAACTGTAATATCGGTTGGAACTTCAGAGCTATGGTAAAATCTAAGTGTCATACAATTTCCATACTCTGTAACACTATAGAAACCCAAATATATTTGCTTTGTAATCAATTCCTCTTTGATTTCTTAAATTACTTATATCTTTAACATTCTGCTTCGTCTGTGTTCTGCCACCCATTTGTGCAAATTCGTTTAGTAAATTAATGGCTTCTCTTGCCATCAGTATATCCTTTGTCATTCTTAAATTATCCTTTCCTTTTTTTTCCTTATTACGTCTCGCAGATATTTGCCAAATAATAATCTATTGGTAAGTAAAAAAAACCGTTCTATATTTCTTCTTAGGTGGCATTAAGAGTATTTAGTTTCAACTGATTTGATTACAAAAGATCGCTTTTTATTGGCTTTTGACAGATGTCTTATGAGCATGCATTTTTTTGGCTTTTTTGCCTCTAAAATTGTTTCTAACATTGGAATGGAAAGAAACTAACCAACAGATTCAACAATTTTTTTTTTTCAATTTTTATGAAAGTAAAAACGAAACTCAAACTCAAAAAAAATGATTTGTGATATTCATGGAGAATGTGTAGATTCCTCTTTACGCGATGGTCTTGGGTAGAATGGTTGATGTTGATAGCAATCCAATCAATGCATTATTTGAGAATGATTATTGCTATAAGACATAATTCGAAAACTAGCTTTTGAAAATCTTTGTCTGACAGAACGTTTCCTTCGTTCAAAAAGCAGGGAAAAACAGTGGACCATTTTTGTTCTTCCTGTCAAACCTAGACAACTTTGGAACACGGCACGGCGACATAAACCGCTTGGATTACGGACCATTCGCCAATGGGTGTATCACCAATGGTTCTTCAGACGACGGCGATTATTATACGGTACATGAAATGCCAACAAACAAAAAATATTCAAATAAAACGTCGAAAATATTTTAAATCAGTTTGGTTATGTTAGTCACTTTGGTGTGTGGCATTCACATAATTCTCAAAATCACCAAATCAAGTTTTGAAAATAATTTAAACCAGTTTGATTATGTTAGTTGCTTTGGTGTGTGACATCCACATAAGTTAAGTAAAATTAATAAAACAAAAAAGCAAACAATGAAAAAACAAAAACAACTTCCCTGTATTTAAATGTTACGTTATTTAACAAATTATAAGGACAATTAAATGTAGACTGAGGTTTAAATATTGTTCTGTGGCCATTATCTTTATTAATTACAAAGAGAGAATCTTTAAATAGCATGGCCTTGTTCCAGACTAAGGAAATCTCGTCAGTGAAAGGAGAAAACCTCTTAATGAAGATTTGTTTGTATGTAGTATTTAGTATATTATAATGAGTAAAATATCACCTGTTTCATTAATTAAACCTGTTTCACTTATAAATTACGAAGGTGAGAAGGAACAGTTATTGTAGTCCTGTGACAAATTAAGCTGAAGTTAGGAAATACTAGCTAAGAGGAGAAAGTCATTTTAAAAGGAACTTTGCGTCTGTTATTTAATGTCATCGTCGACATCTCACGAGATAAAGGTAGCGCCATGTCTAGTCAAAATTCAGCCCTTTTGCGAGAAGAGTCTGGAGCGGCCTAACAGTTCAATCTTTGCTTGGCACTTTCTTCTGCAGGCGTAACAGACGAATATGGAATGTGGAATGAACGTCTGAGATTGCTCGCTCTCTCTCTCTCTCTCTCTCTCTTCTTAACTGCGTTGTCTTCTGATCGCTAACAGATGGTTTCGCTTTTTCCCGCCCTTCATGACTCCTTCTTGTACATTATGGCGCCATCGTCTTCGATCGTCTGTTAACTGTTCCTAACTACTAGAGTCAATGAGTTTCAGGTCATTCTTACATACATCCTTGAAACATAGCACAGGGCGGCCTACCGGATGGTGTGTCATGGTCAACTCACCATACATTATGTATTTTGACATTCGATTTATGTGACCTGGCCATCAAATACGACGTTGACAGAGAAGATTAATTCACCAGGAGTCTGCGTTCTCCAGCGCAGCAGTGCTGGTAACTTTGTCTCTCCATGTGATGCGAGAATACGCCGTAGACAGCGGAGATGCAAGCTTCCCATGTGGTTTTTCTAGCTAGAATATGTCGTCCAGATCTCGCTACAGTAAAGCATACTAAGAACGAATGAATTAAATAGATTTATTTTGGTGCGCAAGGCCAGATGTCAGTTGTCCGATATGCTCTTGCTAAATTTGGCCATCACAACTACCGATGAGTTAATGTCAAATAGAATAAAATATTAGCAAAATATATTTTTGGTGTCTTTTGATTCCATAGATGTGTCTGTGGGTTGCAGTTGTCGTCACGGTATCAAGAATTAGCGTATCATGTTTGAATTCAAGCCGTTACAGTCGCTTTCTCACAAATACTTTGGGAATGTATGATTCTATCTCCACACCTCACCAATTATTGGCTAACAACATGGAACATAATGTTTGGCTGGCACGCAGTCTAGTGGAGAAACAATTCTGAAATCTAAATCGATTGTTTGTGGGACTAGCAATTCAACCTCGCAATAAAACCTACTTGCTCCAGGATCCACGGCTGAAATACTTAACGTGAAGATGCTATGGTCCTATACTTTACACGATCAACATATATATAAATTAATTTAATAGTCCAAGATTAGACTAGTTCGCCTATCACCCGGTTCATACACCTCCCTGATTTTTTTTAAACAGGAGTGAAGGTTTATGCCTTGTTTCCTGTTTAGGATTGGGTTTCCGGTTCCTTCAACTCGATATTTCTATCGTTTCCGTCTGAAATCTAAAATGTCATTCACCAATTATTTTTTTCTGTAGCAATAGGAGTAGATAGGTTTGTCGATCGTCCAATTCATTTTTCCTCCCCGCTCTTTTAAGCAGGAGTTGAAATTTGTCCCTTTATTTTCTTGTTTAGGATTGGGTTTCTAGCTACTTCTAATGTCTTTTCCTTCCCTTTTCCTTCCAGTGACTCCTTGCGTCTTGAGGATGAGGATAGTCCCTCTTATATATATGATAAAAATATGTATTTTAAGGTATGCTATATTTATGGGTTAAATTGCTCAATATCAGAGATAGAGAGTGTGTACATATAAAAGTCGACACCGACTGGTGACAGCCTGTTTCAGGCATGAAATCAATCTTCAGGTCATCCTCCCCGGTATTTTGAACAGGTCCAAGATTAGACAAGTCCGCCTATCGCCCGGTTCATGCACCTCCTTGATTTTTTTAACAGTTTTATCTTTTGTTTCCTGTTTAGGATTGGGTTTCCGGTTTCCTTCTAATGTTTACTTCAACTCTATACTCTGCCTGAACTCTGAAATTTTATTCACTAATTGAAAAGATCAAGTTTAAACCTTGACCTTTCAAGTTTATAATTAGATATCTTTCCTGTTATCTTGCCCTTTTTTGTGTTGTCAACGAACACCCGTTTGACACTTTTGTAATGTCAACGAATACTCATTGTCACTTTCGTAATACTTGTTGTAGTAGAGACTTTGTAATCGCAGATACAATAATATAACGCCGTTGAACAATACTGGTGCCAGACGCCTTCGAATAACACTCGCACTAATAGTACTTGCTCGATAATACTCGCTCGAATAGTAACCACTGAATAGAGAAATAGTATAGGAAATAGAGTAGAAATAGCGATCCGAATAGTAATAGAGGATAGAATAGAAATGAGGATCAATTAGACACACGATATCGCCCATATATACGTTTCCTCTATGGTCACGTGGTCTACTTAATTCAATAATGGGATCGCCTGTGTTTGCGCACTGGCGATCTATGTTCAAACTCAAGTGTCGGCAGCGACACTTTATTCCTATATAACTCCTTTTCTCACGCTAATACAACTCCACATAGTAACACCTACCTTCAGTGACCCTTGGGCCTTGTATTGGGTGAACATTACTAAAAAAAAAACCAAGTTACTACTCTCCAGCATTGAGGGTCGAACTCAGTTGACAATATTTGTCCACTTGTCTAGCTTGATACCTCTTTTACGTTCACTTTCTTATTATCATTATTAATAAGATGGAATGCTGAATTATGTTAGCCTTGTGACAGACTAAGCTTAGTAATTAGCTACCAAGAGAGCAATATTGCTAAGAAGAGACCTGCCTATCTAATACCATCATGAAAGCAAAGGTTAAATTCTTAAATATCGTAAAATCATAGCCTCACTTTGTTATCATTCTTAATTACTAAGAAGGGTATGTGACGACGAGAAAAGAAAAAAAAAACGCGCGCATATCTATAATAATTACTTTTAAATATCTGATGACAGTGTCAGCGAGTACTCTTTTGTGGATAAATTCCCGTCTGGTTACTTAAGTGTATCTTCCTATTACACTGTACTTATTCGAGTTTGGGTGAGGGAGAGATATTCAAGTTTGTGGAGTAAAGCGACATCGGCAGTTCTAATCTAGATTTCGTTTCCACTGATTTTTGTTTTGTCACATCCGTCGATAAATCTGTCCTCTTCCCGATGACCTACGAAGAGATGTCTACTGACAACTCGCATCGTTCCTTCTTTTGCTCAGAATACCCGTATCTAATTTCTAAAGTACCAATTCTTTGCGGGGCTATCAATGTTAATTCATCCCCTTTTTTTATTCATAAATTTGTAACTAGCTGTTTGTTTCTCTCCATCTAAATCAACTGAACGAGCGCATGTGCGAATGAAAGAAATGCACAATAGACAAGAGCCTTTCTACTTTGATCTGCACACACACACACACTTACACACACACATATATATATATTTATGATGACAATAAATATTTTTTTTATTATTTTACTAACAATAAACGGTGACGGACAAATGTATATTTACTGTTAGTATAAATGTTAGCTGTGTTATTTTAAATCGAGCATTCTTTTATTACAACCGCTAGTCACTGTGCTTTTGTGGCGCGTTTCATCCGTTAGGACTTCGTCGGACTGGGTTTGTTGACGTTGTTGTGACTACACATGCGCATGAATGAGAGATGCTGGTAGTTTCCAAATTTTGAAATAATTTTTTTCAATCTAACCAAATTAGGATCAAATATAAATCGGAATCCGACAAAATGATAAGGTAAAGAATAAATAATGAGATATGGAAAAAAACCTTCTAGTTTTCTTAATTGTTGCTTTTTGATTTTCATTGGATAAGCAGACTTCACGTGCATTTGGCTAGTCAAGCAACGTTCGTGTGTATTATTTATGTGTGTAAATGTATAATAATTCTATCTAGCTAGATTCATTTCTATAACAGTCAAAAAATAAAATGAGGATTAATCTGAGGGTTTTACCTCAGATCCCTTATACTATGTATCCCAGAATACCTCGGGGAAGAATAGAAATAAATCGAAAAAAGAAACAAAAACATTTAGACTTTTTCCCTAGCCACATCCTTTCATTCGCGACGCTAGAAAACAGGCATGCAAAAACCCCAACTCCCCAAAATATAGTCCTTCTATCACCAACAACACAAAATTCATAATCCTAGCCTTGAACACTATCTACAAAATTTGAAAATGAAGTAGTTATTTCTAATACTAGGGTCTTTACTACCACCTCTAAGGAAATCGAATATATAATTCGGAATGAAAATAGATCCGCCCCCCCCTTCAGATGCTGGGATCCATCAAATAAAGCGCTTGCAATGTAAATACACTTATACTGGAGAGACATCTCGAAGTGTAAAAGCCGGCAGCTGTGAACATAAGAAAGACCTACGTTGGGACAACCATTTAAACTCACTTGTAAGACACAGAAACAAGACTGACCATCATTTTGATTTTGCAAATTCCACCCTCATTAAAAAAGAACATAATTCTTTAAGTCGAAAAAACTTTGATGGAATCCTGATACAAATTTTACCAACTATAAGTACACGTCAAAAATGTTCTATTATAATATCCCCATTGACAACAACTATAAGTGAGATGTATCAGTGCTGAAGGGAATGGCGCCTCGGTACCTGACTACAATAAGATAAGCATTTACGATATATTTCCTGTTCTGACATAAATAACGATCCATTTGCTATTCACTCAGAATGACCAATGACCTGACAATCAATGAAATAGAGCCAAGTGAATTATTCATATAATTAGCGAAAAAAAGAAAAGAAAAGAAAAGACGGGGAAGGGATCGTACAGTCACAGATTTTTTTCATTTTTTAATATACACAAATCTGCGAATAGCTTTAGCTGTTTTGAAATCAAGCTTCAATAATGCCTCAAAATTGTCAGAATCACAATAATTGTACCAAAATTATATTATTAGAAATACGATATAATAATAATAATAATAATAATAATAATAATAATAATAACGGAGGTCAACAATTTCAAAAGCGTATTTCAAGTGGGGTGAAGAAGTGCAAATAAACCATAATACACCTAATGCATAAGCAAAAAAACTAAAAAAAAGAAAGCAAATGCAATATGCCTCTTTATGGTCAATACTCTACCCTCACCAAACAAACTGATGTAGACAAACCCTGTGCCCGTCAATTAAGTAGTGCAGCGTTAAAAGCTGAAACCGAAGGATTTTATACTTGCTGGAAAGTACCAATGCTTACTAAATAGAAATTACCAAGTCCGCTCATTGAAAAATAGGGTTACCTAGAAATACAGAAAATATGCAACTTTTAAGGGGAAAGGAAACTAGTATGAATGTCACACGGAACCGGTTACAGAAATAGAACTTAAGAGAATTTTATGGGACTTTAAAACACACACGGACAAAAAAAAAAAAAAAATCAAAACTAATCGCCCAGACATCGGGACCACAGACCACGAAAACAATTGATATGTCAATCCCTGCAGATTGTAGTATATCTTTAAAGATCTTCAAAAAACTATCAAAATACAAAGATCTTGAAGTGGAATTCTAAAAATGTGGCATATGAGGACATCAATAATTCCAGTTGTAGTTGTAACCTTCGTATTGATTGGAAAAGGGTCCGATTGACTCATTAAAGCTTATTTAAAGAAATGCAAAAAAGATGTACTCAAAAGAACAGCCCACAACTTACGAAAGGCTTTATCTATGTAAAATATTGTGATCTTACTTTTTATTTTTTGTGGAAAATGTCATGGAGTCATTTTTGACCTTAGGTCTCTGGTAGGGACTCGGAAAAAAATTTGTATACAATAGATATCAAAGGAAATGATAATAATAATATTAATAATAATATACTGGAGTCATAGAGAGGACTTAGAATCAAAAGAAAATAATAATAATAATATTAACCTAGAATCAAAGGAAATGATAATAACAATATTCTGGAGATATAGAAAGGACCTAGAATTAAAGGAAATGATAATAATAATAATATTCTGGAGACATAAAAAGGACCTAGAATCAAAGGAAATGATAATAATAATATTAATAATAATATTCTGGAGACACAGAGAGGACCTAGAAGCTCCCGAACAAAGAAATTGAAAATACTTTTGATACACACTAATATATTCAATTCCACCAAATTTGAAGTTATATATTGCAGTACTGTTGTCCAGTACAATGTTTTATGCAGTCAGGTTTGGTGATACTTTTTTGAGAATTACAGAGAGTGAAGTTCTCATTAATATTTGCTGAGATAACGATATATATATATTTTATATGTGAAGAACAGTATTGAGGAAATTGTATGACAAATTGAATAAAAGCTTTTGTGGCTCGTTTCATCCGTTAGGACTTCGACGGACTGGGTTTGTTGACGTTGTTGTGACTACACATGCGCATGAATGAGAGATGCTGGTAGTTTCCAAATTTTGGAAATAATTTTTTTCAGTCTAACCAAATTCATCTATATTCTTTTTCTTTTTCTTTCCATCATCTTTGTTATTAAATATCTCACATTTTGCTAACAGAAAATTGCCAAGAATGGTGAAACGTTGTAAGAATCTGGACAGAAATTTACTGCGACTGCACTAGGGACTAAAGTTCTTTCTAGACATTTTCGTATTAGAGAATTATTTTTTCTTTTAATTAGAGTATCATTTTTTTAATGTCAAAACTGTGGTCAGTTTCGTTATGGTGAACAACCAATACGCTTTGAGCATTGTTATTTAAAATATTTCTTTTGTGTTCATATAGTCTTTTGTTTAAACTTCTTGAGGTTTCTCCATCATATTTTTTCAGTTGATAGAGTAAATTCCTTCACGTTTCGGTCCCTACAACGTATCACCATTCTTGGCAGATTTTCTGTTATCGCAATATGGGATAGTTAAAAACAAAGATGAAGGAAAGAAAAAGGAAAAGAATATAGATGAATTTGGCTAGATTGCAAAAAAAAAATCTTCTAAAATTTTGAAAAGTCAACAGACGCAATCCGATGAAGTTCCTAACGGATGAAACGTGCGACAAAAACTTTTGTCATATATATATATATATATATATATGTGCATGTGTGTGTGTGTTTTTTGTCTGTATGTGTGCGTGTGTGTGTGTACACGCACACACAGACACATATATATATGCATACGTGTGGGGGTGCTTGCACTGAAAAAATATGTTTCCACATTTGTATGTGCATTGATATATATTATGCACACTAATTGGGTTTGTGATTTGTTTCTAAGTGAAAACAAATAATGAATAATATCCGGTGCTTTATATATATATATATATATATATATATATATATATATATATATATATATATATATTTGTGTGTGTGTGCGCGCGTGCGCGTGATTTTCTATTTGTGAGTCTATACAAAGTGTAAGTGTCTACAGTCAGAATCCATTGGTTTCAGTTGATTTGTTTCTAAACGAAAATAATTTGCCTGTAGATTGTCGGCTATTTTACACCGGCGTTTGTCACAAAAGACGAAGCCCGCTTAGATGAGCTGAAGGAAGGTTTTTTTTAAAAAAAAAACAGCAATCAAAAACAAAAAAAGAATAAAACAAAGAAAGAAAAAACAACAGAAAAAGAAGAAAAAAAGAAAATATTTTAAACAGGCACAAGAAATTTACATTAATTCATTCTCTAAACACGCTGAATGGTTTTCGAAGCGAGCGTGTGGACAGACAAACGAAATAGTATTTACGTAATTACTGAAACATTTTCCTTCGTGTTTCGCCTTGTATTTTTTTCCCGCTCCTCTGATCGTTTGAAAAATAATTGAAAGGGAGGTAATTAAGGATGCATTTGTTTTTCAAAATGGCGGATGGTATATTTCCAGCAAGACAATTTCGATAATTTCTGTGAATTGTTCAGTTACACACACACACACACACACACACACACACACACACACACACACACACACACACACACACACACATATATATATTGTTGTTTTTCTTACTTGAAGTTTAATATTTTTGTTTATTTTTTCCTGATTGCTCATTTCCTTACCTATTTGGTTTATGTTTCTGCGTCTTCCATTAGTAAGCCCGGAGACATCTAAAAACTGTTCACAATACATTATCTTAATAATCTATTTACGGACGTGGAGCTTCCGTTTTTGCGCGGAATTCATTTTTATATTTATCTCTTTTTTCCTTTGCTTTCCTTTTTAACTTCCTGACTTAATCTGCCGGTTTGTCTGTCTGTCTGTCCGTCTGTCTGCTCTATTTATTACAATTTAACAGGATGGCAGTTTTCTGACAGCGTGATGAAGCCATTTATTCACCAAAACAAGCAATATATGATATCATCATACCAAACTTATTTTACTCACACGCGCGCGCGCGCACACACACACACACACACACAACTACTACTACTACTACGACTACTACTACACATACACGCACACACTACATACACACACTCACAAACATATGTATGCACGCGTGTGTTTGTGGATTTAAATTTATGTGCATATATTAAAAATGAACACTGAATTAAGCGCATTGACAAGGAAGGAGATTATTTAAAAATTGCAGATAAAGAAATGCATTTTCGATCATTAGGCTGCTGAAATATCTATCTATCTATCTATCTATCTAGACGTACATACTCAAGTACGTACACACGGACACGCAAGTGAACACATTTATAACTATATATATTTTTGTTTTATATATACATAATCTTAAATATGTTTTTCCGTTATATCTTTCTATCTATCTATCTATCCATGTTTCTCTAAAAACGACAGAAAAGGTACTTAATCTTTTTTATTTAATTTTTCTTGTGTTCGAACAAATGCTTTCATTTTTGGTCACAGATTGTATAGAAATTGTCCAAATGTTCTATAGTTCCGAGCCCTTTCGTCGATACTTTTAGCCATTTTCAAGGATGATTTTATTTTTTCGGTTTAATTGAGTGTGTGCGTTATGTGTATGTTTATAGTTTGTTATAGAGAGGTTTTATTTTCCGAACACGGTTAGCAGATTGTGGTCTTGTACGTAGTTAATATTGTTAACTGTTGGCTTTTTCGTTTTTATTATGAGAGCCTCGATTATTTTTAATCTTTTTTTACAGGTGGATGAGATTATTATATTTGTGTTTTCTCCTAGTATGTTTCGCATGGAATCTGGTAAGTTTGTGTGTCTGTTTAAATGGGTCTCTACTAGAGCTATGGTCAGATAGGTGTAACGTAAAGCGCCTGGATAGGCATGTAGTTCTGTGACCGATGTAATTATTTATAAATTCGGTTTGATCAGGAACACAGTTTCTTCAGAGGGCATTTCAACACATAGATAATGTTCGTTCGTTCTAATTTGGACTTTGCTGGTGTGTTGTTATTACTGAGGATAAGGTTAGCTGTTTTAAATTTTTTATAGTAGATAATTAATTTGATTTTTTTCTTTGGATCAATTGATAAACCGTAAAAAAATAACATCCTTAAATACGGTATGTTATCCGACTTGAATCGTTGTTGAGGTATAGGGAGTCCATGAATCGTCACTCAGCTGTGAAACGGAGCTGTCAACGGTTAATGATATGTTTAAGTGCACCATCGGACGAAAACATCTTCCATTATCTAACAACTAGGATACTGTATACTCTTAATGGTTTTAAGCCACAGCCAAACCTTACTATCAGCCCGAAACAACTGAGACGTTAACTCTTCGGATCATGTATTCTTATTTCTTCAAGATCCCATTAACAAAGTCATGAACCCAAGCGAAGCACCATATCCGGTTGGGTAATGTTAACAGGAGCACCTTGGTAGGTCTAGCATATATATATATATATATATATATATATATATATATATATATATATATATATAAACACATCGAGAGGCAGTGTAATGGTTAGCAAGCTTGTCTCGCTAGAACATTTTTACGATCCTCACTGGGTGCTTCATACTTTCGGCCTTGTGCCACATCTAAGCTACGCTTGGAAAATCTCTATATATACTCAGTCAGTTGTGTCATGCGTGATACACGCTTATGCGATCATGTATCTTTCGATACATGACTGACGAGGCAGATTTTTTCCCGCAGTAGGTTGCCATTTCTTTCTGCGGTAGACCAATTGCCATCCAAGACTATAGAACCCGGCCTGTCCTGCTATTTACCCAAGGGTATTAGCACGTAAGTGAATGTAATACCCTTGGGAAAGGTATGAATCCTCTTCTTCTCCCCACAGAAGGGGATTCACACCTTTCCCAAGGGTATTGCATATATATATACTACGAAAGCTAAAGAACACTGGCCTGTGGATATGCGTCTGATATGTCCTTCATAGAATGCCAATGTCATTTGAACCCGTTTCACTCGTCTTTTACGGCAAACAATTCTAACCAGTTGCATTTGGTCATCATCCTTTAGTAGACATGATCGGGCATTGTGCTGTTCCCAGTGGGCGGTAATACCCTTCCATCAGATATTCACGTGTACAAATGATACTATAGATCGAGTGATGTCAAATATCACCACCATTTCAGAAATGGGATATTTTATTTATCTGGCATTATCGTATTATATTCCAACTCCGATAATTCAGGCTGCTTTGGCATGAGAAGCAGCCCAGCCGGTGTTCCCGCTGAATTGCTAGATGCTAGACAGAATATAATTGATATAGAACTGGATAATTCTATGACATCAATAACCTTTACGTACTTTACTTTCCTTCATGACGTACGGCACGGCAGTGGTTAAGAATTTGCTGTTCTTTTTTGGTAGTTCTTTTGTACCTACAATAAAAGTATTTTTCGTGCTTTCGGATAATTCGCTTCGATTGAAACATAATCGAATATAAGAGTCAGACCTGAGGGAAATTGAGTGGTACTAGTGGTTTAAATGGAGTAGACCCATCTGACCTGAAATAGACCATTTGAAAATATAGATTTATCCTGATCACGAACCTCGACCACGGGTCAGGACTAAAAATTGAAACTCAAGTTACATTCCTCTCTCTCTCTCTCTCTCTCTCTCTCTCTCTTTATACATTATATATATATATATATATATATATATATATATATATATATATATGTGTGTGTGTGTGTGTGTATATATATATATATATATCATAAAATAAAAGAACAAATAGAAAACGTATATCAATTTAACATGTTTCACTTTTTAAGAGATTGAGAGAAAACAGACAAAATTACAGAAAACACTGATATTTCTAATTATGTTTGGATCAGTTTTCATTGGTCAGATACGTGTATTAAAATCGTGGATAATTCCATGTTTGTAGGTTTGTGAAGATTCTTGTATATCTAAGTGGGCAACGGATGGTAATGTGTATTTGTAATTGTGTGCCTGTGTCTGTACAGTTAGGGTTTTATCCTCACATTTCTGCAGTCAACCCGCGTAGCAGGGAGTCACAGGGTTCTAATTTATGAACAGCCTCTTTAAGAATGTGTTCTGTGTATTAAGTAGATATGTTAGAGTCTTTAACAATGGATTCAAAGTAAGATGGTGATGTAATGTAATGTTTGAGACGTGTCTTTATAGTTGGTAATAATATTATTATTAAGTTTTCAATGTTTTCTCCTTAAAGAATTATGTTATTTTTATTAATTAGGATGGCATTAGTGAAAGCTATGTTCAGCATCGTTGCGATGCAAAACGAGAGAAATATAATTAGGAAGAAAAATAAATCGAACACCTATTAAAATGCCAGGATTTATCAAATAAATTGTTTACAATGTAAAAATGTTTATGTGGGGGTGACATCACGTGATCTAAAAAGCCGCATCTATGTACACAAGAGAGATTTGCGTTTGGACAATCAATCACTTTCGAAGCTTTAATAAAAGTGAAACATGTTAGATTGATATACGTTTCCTATTTGTTCTTTTGTTTTATCATCCTGTCGGATTCAGATCCAGATTTCATGTGCATTTGATCTTTAACTCATATGTATATATGTCAAAATTACAGATAGAATATATCTGTAAAAGGACAATATGTCTAAAAACAAAAATCAAACTTACCTTTTAACCGACGCATTTTAGTGGATTCTCATATTTGAATAGACGCTCGAATCATTTATTAAAAGGTATATTTATTTTTGTTTCCGGCCTGAACATTATGGAAATCTTATTAAATAAAAGTATGCGCTCCCCCGATTTGATATATATATATATATATATATATATATATATATATATATATATATATATATATATATATATATATATATGTGTGTGTGTGTGTGTATATAAATTTGATACGAAATGGAATTCGCTTAAAGGCCCGTTTTCAAACTTTGCTTCGTCGGCAGCGCTGCTCTGTGGCACGTCGGAACTAACGAAATTTGCTCTCTGTCCAGGAAAACACAGGTTCGAATACTGCCGCACATTTTTCTTTCATAAGAATTCTCGAATATTCTGTCCGATAGAAGAAAATAAATAAATATACTGTTTAATAAATAAATGGTGCGTCTACTAATATATATATATATATATATATATATATATATATATATATATATATATATATATATATATACATACATATATAATTCTACAATTGTCCGGTCCATTTTTGAAGATAACAACGACTGTTCTACAGTTAGCCGTTGACCAATATCTATGAATGCCCACTCAGATACAAAATAGCAGTAATAAAATATCCCTAAAAAGAGCACAACAGAATTCATCCTCTCGACTACTCTTCCTTAAAGAACTCAATAATGTTAAACTAACACTAATTAACAATGTTTTCCCTAACCACCTTATACATCACCAAGTTAAACTATTTCTCCCCAAAGTAAATAACAACGATAGTGAACATACAGTCAAAAATTACACAAATATTTTCTACAAATCCAAATGCACATCAGCTCTAAACAAGATGAATCTTCACTTAGAAATATTTTAAATATAAATAGAATCGATGCTACATTGGGTTGTTGTACTTCACCGGGTTAGGTCTCCAATACAACGGTAGGCATCTATACGATGAGATTGGCACGCCAGAGTATTGGAAGATTGGCTTGAAACGATTTTCCTTGTCTATGTTTCCTAGCTTTAATCCTGCAAATGTATCACAACATAAAACTAATAAACTATCCGATGAGTGTTTTAAAATATTTTTTTTTTGAACTTGGACGTAGGTGTTCATTGTTCGCCACGTGTTTTTTCTTTATTATCTGTGAAATCATATGCGTTCTTAGAAAACATAGTGGAGTTGTTTCCCGTTACTTCTTTAAGAGTTATGGCGTTTCTGACTGTTTGATTTGATACCACCTTATCACATTACTACTGTACTGTACTGATGCGGCATTCACCCTGGGCAGATTCTTCCTGTTATGAGAAGAAGATTCTTGGGATAAATTACAGAAGTAGGGTACCCAGGCCTACTCGGATAACGTTCTTGCTTGCCGCGGGGTTCCCACAGACGCAGAGACAGGAACGACCAGTAGCCGCCGGTTGCCGATGCAGACGCTCCTTGGATTTTCACCAGAGCCCTTGTTAGCCGGCGTGTGTGTCAGACCTGTCCGCCTTGGGTGGCCCTACCAGGAACGAAGTTCCGGGCGGTATAGCTCTGACACTACCGTTTACACCAAAGAGAGAGAGAGAGAGAGAAAGGAATGTAACAATATAGGCTTTATTGACCAGGCTTTATTGACCCCTCCCCACCGACTGTGAGGTAAGGGTTGGACTTTGGGGGCTTACAGTACCAGGTGTTCCCAAGCGGTCCCCCATCTAAGTACTGACCTGGCTCTACGATGCTTAACTTCGGTGATCGAACGAGAACCGGTGTTTTCAGCGTGATTTGACCGTAACCTTATCACATTGTGAAATGAACGCTATTTTGAACGATCACTCTTCGAGATATTTCTATATAAATGCGAGTGACCCCTAGTTCGCTATATTCAGGCCTATTTGGTTCTATATTTTCATCAACAACTTTCCTAATGTCATTAGTTCTCGACTTTGTATCTATGCGGATGATTCATCTATTTACTCAAGATTTAATGGTACGCCTGGTCAATAAAGCTTATATTGTAGCTTATATTGTAGCTTATATAGTGGCTTATATTGTAGGTTATGTAGTAGCTTATAGCGAAAATGACATCCGATCTGTTATCAAATGGCTTGTTAATTTCAACGCCACCAAAACTAAACCGTTCTCTTTTAATAGTCTTCGGGACAATTTTCTTTGCTTTCTATCTATATTGCAGATGCTAACCTCCTGGGGAATAACTCCTCACGCTTTCAGAATCTCACGTTTTCCCCTGATAGGAATTAGAATGATTGTATCGAATCAATTGATAAGTAAATTTACTTTTTAACGCTAGACAATTTTTCTCGCCATAATCTACCTTGCACTTTTACAAGTTTACCTTTCGCGTGAGCATTAAATATTGTTGCCACATCTAGTTTGATGCTTCTAATATGTGTCTAGAGTCTTAATAAAATGCAAATAAGAATCTGCAATTTTATCGGTCCGGACCTGTCATATCAGCTTCAATCACTTTACCACCGCCGTAAGGTAGTCTACCTATGTCTATTTTATCAATATTTTCATTGCAATTGTTCATATGAATGTTCCTCTTTGGTACCTCGACGTCATGAGTTTAAACGTCGTAAGATATTGGCAGCTATGTATCATTATTTTACTCTTAAAATGGCTAGATACAACCGTAAGTTCTATTCTAGCAGTTTCTTCTCTCCCATTTCTCGCCTGTAAAACAATCTCTCGGTTTCTTGCTTTTCTGTTAAATACGATCTTCAAAAATTTAAATGTAGCATATCAATGGCTAAATCTAAACGTAAGTTCTATTCTGACAGTTTATTTTTTCTCACTTCTCACCTGTAAAACTCTTTTCCGGCTTCTACGATCATCAAAATTGTAAGTATAACATATCAATCGTCATCTTCTGTTTTCGTTTTAACAATATATTTTTTTATTTTCCTCTCTCTCTCTCTCTCTCTCTCTCTCTCTCTCTCTTCAATAACCTTTTCTAAATTTATTTCATTCTCAGTAATCTCTTGTGTCTTTGTGGTTTTGTCACCTTTCTTGAGGTCAAATGATAAGAAAATATACTACCCGCATATCCTCCAAATACATATATATATATAAGCTAAGTAAACTTTAAAATCTCAGCGCCTGTTCACGCCTGTTGCAAATAGTATGAAAGTTTAATGAAATCAAAACTAGAATTAAAATATTTTCCATGGTTTATGATTTATTTATGATAAAGCCTATTAAATACTAACTTATAAGGAATATAGTCATTGGCTAATTTCGTTGTAATACTCGAAGAGAAATCGGGATTCTTCGGAGTTAACCGATCGATAAATAGTGTAATCGAACCTAAATAATACAATAATAAATCGATTTTTATTAAAATTTCAATTTTCTAATCAAAGAAAAACCAAAATTAAAACATTTCCGTTAGAGTTGACTGTCTAAGGAAATGAAATGAAAAACTTTTTAGACGGAAAGCCAATCGTTAATCAAGGTAATATGCAAGATAGTCGAGACCTGCAAATCACAAATCGAACTGAAAACTATTCCAATGTTAGTTAAGGTAAAAATGTGAGTCACGTTGTTCTATTATCGATGTAAATGAATTAAAATTTGAATGTCATCTCTAATCAAGAAATGTCGTGTCAATGGTCTTGACATTTTAATTAATTCAGATCAATTTGAATGTTAATATTCAAGATTTCATTAGTAAAATATATATGCCCACGACAGGAAATTTCTGTTTTCTTTCATATATCTCTACTATCAATGTGACGTCTCTGTTTGTCCGTGTCTCGCTTTTTCTGTCTCTTTCTGTCTGCTTCTTTCTCTCTCTCTCTCTCTCTCTCTCTCTCTCTCTCTCTCTCTCTCTCTCGGTGTATGTACATGGAATTTTGTCAAAAACTAAAGAAATTATTTATATTTTAAATCAACATCATCCATATATATATATATATATATATATATATATATATATATATATATATATATATATATATATATATTTAGGAAGCTTATTTTCATTCAAGCGTGTTTGGTTAAACGTATTATGTTTATTTATTTTAGTTTTAATCGTTTCAAGTCTTTGAAAGAACTTTCATGAATTAATTTCTTGCTGGCTGTAGATAACTGAATAAGAAAAAATTCCAAAATTTTCTCTCAGATAATTTTTCTTTTCTCAACTACTTTCAATCTCATCTGAGACCAGGGGTTGCATATCGTTGGATGTGTTTTGAGTTAACATCGTAAATTCAAAATATTTTTTTCACCGCTATGCATTTTTGACTTATGTGATTTTTTTTATTTGAAAGACAATTTCGAAATTTTTCTAGATCAGTTTTCTACAGTCACCCAAAAATTAATTCATGTGCTTGAAAGGATTAAAACTAAAATAAATAGAGATAATACGTCTAAATTATTTAACCAGATATATATTCTTCTAGCCTCGATGCATTACTTAGGATTATCTCAAATCCTCCTAATAATTTTCTATCACTTGTATATCCTTGCTTTTAATGCTCTGGATGGATCGGATTGTGGATAGGGGTCGTGGCTCTTGGAGGCACGGTCCTATGGGTAAAGGAACGGAATATGTGATCGGGTGGCGCTATCTCGAGTCTAATTCGTTACGTCTTCGTTACCGAGGCCCGTTGGTATGATGTTTGTCTCATATCGTAACTGTCCGGGTTTCAATTCTTCTGCATTCTGTTGAGATTTCTTCTAGACTCGATGAATTACATGATTATCTTATATTTGGTTATATATATATATATATATATATATATATATATATATATATATAACCAAATGTGCTTTCTCAGCGTTTTATGCAGTGGCAATCATCAGGCGGAAAGAAAGAAATTATATATATTTTGAATCAACATCATCAATATATATATATATATATATATATATATATATATATATATATATATATATATATATATATATATATATATATATATATATATATATATATATATAATTAGGAGGATTTGAAATAATCATCATTAAGTAATTCATCGAGTCTAGAAGAAAACTTAACAGAATTCATCCACTACCGAGAATTGAAACCGAACTATTACGATAGGAGGCAAACACCATACCAACTGTACCAACGGACCTCGATGATGTAACGAATTAGACTCGATATAGTGCCGCTCGATAACATATTCCGTGGTGGAACACTTCGTTGGTACAGTTGGTATGGCGTTTGCCTCATATCTTAAGTGTTCGGGTTTCAATTCTCGGTAGTGGATGCGCACTGCTGATGAGTCCCAAATATAGGACGAAACTGCCGTCCAGTGCATTCTGTTGAGGTTAATTCTAGACTCGATTAATTACTTAATTATGATACATATATATATAGGGCTGGTGTTAATAAATAGTGCTCGATAAAAGACCTATTAAGTATATATATGTCAGTGTATTTAAAAATATCTGACAAGGTGCTGTAGTTAAGTTTTTTATATTTTTCATGTGTTCGTATAATTAGTTTCTTTTCAAGACATAAATTATATAAAAATGCACCGAATGTTTTAGTCAAACGCTTTCAGCTATACATTTAGCCATTATCAAGGATGATTTATTTTTCACTTTTAATTGCAGGTTTCATTTTTTTTTTATAATAAATAATTTAATTTTCTTGTTTTTGTCAACTGGTGTTATGTGTTTCTTTATGTATCTAAGTGAAAATATTGAGTTTTGTAGAAAATGTTAATGTTATTGTCTTTTTTTCTCTGTGTTTATTGTAGCTATTGGTTACCGAAGAAAGAAAAAGTCTAATATGCTAATCTATAAGATCGTTTGGAAAACCGTTATTAACAATCATTTATTTGACGTTAAGTTCTTTAAAGAAAAGCTGATGAGGTGATGAATTTTCGTTCCCTTTCATAAGGAAATTTTTAATAACACCTATTTTATATCTGAGTGAACATTAACTAGTAAAATTAATATGGCAAGAGTTTTTACTTGTGTTTTTTTTATATATATATAATGAAGTAGTGAATGTATTATTACTAGACTCTACAAGAACATCCAATAAGGAGAGTTTATCTTTTTGCCTAAGTTCATAACTAAATTGAGGACGGAATTTTTTTTAAATCCATATATTCAGTTAAAAGTAAAATAAAACTCATCCTTGATAATGGCCGAAATCACTTGGAAAACATTCGTGAACTTTATATAATTTATGTCCTGAAGACCAAAAAAATGATACGGGCACATGAGATATTATATGAAAACAAAAACGTTGTCAGTCAGTTTTAACGAAAGTTGCATAAAAGAGAGACTGCTGCCAAATACACAATATATATATATATATATATATATATATATATATATATATATATATATATATATATATATATATATATATTGAGATGACGAGACAAAGCTTATAAACGACGGGGTTTAGCCGACGTATGTTGGTTTTGGCTTTTTCAGGTCGGAATAATAGTTTAATCAGTGTGTAAATAAAATGTATTAGGAATTTTAGGATCCGTGGCAATAAATTAAATTACTTTATCAGATACGACGATCAGAAACGAGAAAGTGTTCGTTTGTGTGTGTGTGTGTGTGTGTGTGTGTGTGTGTGTGTATGTTTTTTGTCTTGTTGTTTTTTTTTTTCGATATACATAATAGAGCCGTTAGTGTAAAATATATTTTAAATCAGCTCATTGAGATTATAAGATTTTTCAATTTGGCTCCCCATATCCATTTTTGTTTCCGATACTATTATGCATCCTATCAGCACACACACATATATACGTATATATGTATATATATATATATGATGTGTACAAAATCAACAGAAGTTGATGTAAGAAAAAAACTCGATGTAAAAAACTAAAAATACAGACCAAGATATAAACGATGATAAAAGCTACTTAATTTGAACTTTTAGTTGCCTTCACAATTTAATAGTTTCATATGCAGAGAATCAAGCTTCACCTAACACAAGATTCTACTATTGTTCTTGACTACCCGAAAATTGGGTAAGGTATGAATCCTCTTCTTCTCCCTCCAGCTATGGGTAAAATAGCAGGACAGACTGGGTTCCATAGCCTTGGGTTGCAACTGGACAAGGAGAAGGACAACTCTGCATTCAAAACCTGCAGAGGGTTGTTTGGGGACCTTGTGGCACACAGTGCACCAGGTCTCTGTATTCGGTTCTGCACAAAACCTTCACCACTATAATCAAATCATATGTGCTGGTGTCTGGGCTATCGGTTCCTGGAAACTGAGCTGCTTGACACTCATACGTTGAATGCGAAAAGAGAGTCCACCATATATATATATATATATATATATATATATATATATATATATATTAAAAACAACAATAAATAAAATATTTTCAAACAATAATAAATAAAAAATTACTTATAAACTTAACCTCCTACAAATAGTACCCCAATAGTACTTAGGATACCACCAAATCAGATAATAATAATCAGTGAAGACATATAAATATTTACTTTAACATTTAAGCATTAAAATTAATTATTTATGAAAAAAAAATGAAATACAATTTTCATGCCAGGAAAAGACTAGATAACTCAAAAATAAAAATGACAACATGTCTAAAAAAAAAAAAAAACAGAAAAATTAGCAACAAATTGCAACAATTTAAAGAAAAGAGGAGAAAGGAAAAAGTCTAAGGAGTTTAAAGTGGAGATAAAAATCAACGAAAAGTGCAAATGACACCCTACACGTACGCACATCCAGGCAAACGGGAGCACGGGTGCACGTACACACACACACACGCGCACACACTATGAAAAAAGATTGCGCTAATGATAAATGCACAGTTAACTTCTGATATCTCCTGACGAGTGGACAGACAGATATTTCTATGAAACTTCTGGAGTAAGAATGCTGAAGGTTACTTCAATCAAACCTTTTACTTATATTAATGTTTTCTTTCTCTCTTCTCTCTCTCTCCTATCCCATATATATATATATATATATATATATATATATATATATATATATATATATATATATATATATATATATATATATATATATTTATATATATATATATATATATATATATATATATATATATATATATGAGAAGGAGAATAGCGGCTCGGACTGAGGACTCAGAGAGCCGAGTTCAAATTCCAGTCGAATCCATTACATTCACTTACGTGCTAATACCCTTGGGAAAGGTATGAATCCTCTTCCTCTCCCTCCAGCTATGGGTAAAATAGCAGGACAGACTGGGTTCTATAGTCTTGGATGGCAACTGGTCTAGGAGAAGGACAACTCTGAATTCAAAACCTGAGGGGGGTTGTTTGGGAACCTTGTGGCACGTAGTCCCAGGTCCCTGTATTCGGCCCTTCAAAAAGTGTGGTTGGTTCTGCACAAAGCCTTCACAACTATAATCAAATCATATGTGCTGGTGTCTGGGCTGTTATTTCCTAGGAACTGAGCTGCTTGACCCTTATACGTTGAATACGACAAGAGAGTCCAACATATATATGATTAATGTGAGTAAAATTTGTCACTTAGCTGATTGATGCTACCTTCATTTAAATTAATTCTAGAAAAACAGAGTTGATATTTGGCGCGAAACAGCAGGATCAAATTTTGTACTTTTCCAAAGCATTGCTTTATTTTGACTTTTTCGTCTGTTTTTGGAAATTTATTTCAGTTTATTTATTCGTAAAATCATTTTGCGCTTGAGAGTCAGTTATGGTTCATATAATTAGGTTTTTCTTATTAGTCTTTAGAAAGGATTTAAGTGAACCTGACTGAAAATTGTGAAATACGTTCGAGGTTTTTTAATTTTCAAGCACAGTTGGCATCCGCCATATTAACAAATATTTAAATTTGTTAATTTTGTGAAATAATGAGTCAGACCGAGACCTTTTTAGCATGTATGTACACGCTCACACGAGCGCGCACGACTCCATTCACGCACGCACACACACACACACACACACACACACACATGCGCATGCGTACAGATGTCTGAATTCACAAACGAATACATCTATGCAACCTCATGGCCGTTGTAAATCATAAGACAACAAGAGAATTAACAAACGCATATACATTAGCATCTTTTCAATTTATATAAATATACGTATATATTCTGCAAATACTTATAAAATATAAATATCCTCTCTGTGTTTGCTTGTGTGCGTAATTACTTGTGTGCATATATATATATATATATATATATATATATATATATATATATATATATATATATATGTGTGTGTGTGTGTGTGTGTTTAGGTGCGTACCTGTGTACAAGTATGTTTGCGTGTGTGGAAAAAATTATCTTTCAATTCGATGATCTAGCATGCTATACTCTAAGAATTAACTTTTAACTGATTTTAGAAAGAAATGATCGCGGGCGATGAAAAATGGATTGTTTACAACAATGTGGAGTGAAAAGGGAATTGCGGTAATGAAAACAGACCACTTGTAATCACTCCAAGATCTAGTCTGCATCCGATGATGCTCTCTATGCAGTGAGATTGGAAGGGCACTGAATGAGCTCCTTCCAAGATCTAGACCGATTAAAGGCGGCATTTGATGAAAATTATCTAAAATTGATCAATCCGGAAGGGGCCACCTTACACCAGGACGACACTAAAATTCACGTCTCTTTGCAGATCGAACCTAAATTGACAGAACTTAATTATGATGTCCTACTGCACCAGCAGTATTCGACTACTCTTGCACCTTTGAATTACCATTATTTTGATCCCTACAAAATTTTCTTAATGGAATGAAGTTCAATTCTCTTGAAGCCTGTAAAAACCACTTAGACCAGTTCATCACTCCATAAGATGCTAAGTTCTAAGAGGATGGAATCATGAAGCTGCTAAATGGCAAATATGTGATTGCATTAATCTTTGTGCAAATAAGTAAATATTGAAATTCATTAAAAAATGCAACGAATATTTTTTCACGACTTAATGTGATTTTATAAGAATACTTCGAAACATAACGGTTATGGGGACCAAAAATGGATCTGGTGAGCCGAGTTCAAAGGCATCAGATCCAAACAAAAACTTGAGGCATTTTAATTTTTCAGTTAACCTCAATTGATCTATTATTTCGTCGGCCACATGTCGCGCTCTCAATCATCAAATCACCAAAAGCGATTTCACTTAAAACTACCCCGTTGCAAATTTCTTTTTCTGGAAACAATCAAGTGCTTGGCTAACACCTGTTTTCCTTCTTTTAGCCTCATAGGGACTTCTGAAAAATCTTGGATTCCTGTGAATGACACCCATTTTGGTTCGTGATTCATATCCCTCGAAAAGATCAACTCGAAGAAAATGATCTCTGTCTCTCTGAAGAAAATTCAGAACATTGGCTATTACATTAGCTCCAGTCTATTAGTAAGTTTCAAACCGGAACAAGTTAAAGGGGAAGTATGGTGGCCGTTATATGGAATGAACATCAGATTGTTTCCCTTGTGCACTTTAGATGAAATACTTGCCAAAGATATGAACATTGTTGTGTTATATTGCTTGCAGAGGTTCTCTTAATCATGTGAGGTTTGCCGAAGAAAATTTATCTTTTTTTATGTCTTGACCTTTGGACAATGTCTCGGGTTTGAAAGCCATGATTGAAAGGAACAGAAAGAGAAGAAAGTTTGAAAAGAAATCAAAAAAGGAGAAAAGTTAAGAACGAAATAATAGAGAGAAAATTGATTCTGTGAAAAAGAGATTAAATCTAAATGGGATAAGTGAGTTTAAGATTAAATAAAGAAAAAAGAAAGAGAAAGAAAACAAGAAAGGGAAAAATAATGAAATAATGAAAAAAAGAAAGAAAGCAAAAAAGAACGAAAGAAATAAAAATGGAAGAAAGAAAGAATGAAAGAAAAAAAGAAGAAATGAGAAAGAAAAAGTAGGAAAAGAAGCAAAGAAATAATAAAAATTGAAAAAAGAAAAGAATGAATGAATGAAAAAAAGAAAAAACTGGAAAAAAGAACGAAAGAAATAAAAAAAATGGAAAAAAGAAAGAATGAATGAATGAAAAAGAGAAAGAAAAAAGAAAACAGGAAAAAAGAACGAGTAAAATAATATAAGTGAAAGAAAGAAAGATGAATAAATGAAAAAGAAGAAATAAGAAAGAAAAAAGAAAGCAGGAAAAAAGAACGAAAAATGGAAAAAATAAAAAATGAATGAATGAAAAATGAAGAAATGAAAGAGAAATAAAAAGTGAGTATGAAAAAGAAAGAAAGAATGAAAATGAATGAAAGAAAGAAAACATAAAGAAATGAAAAAGAACGAAAGAAATAGTCGAAACATTAGAAAATGAGAAAGGAAAGTTGAATGAGGTTACAAACATGCGGAATGAACGAAAGAAGAAAAAAGAAAGCAAAATAGAAAATTTAAAAGATAGAAAGAAAAAAAAAAAGAATAAAGAATGAAGGAAATGGAGAGAAGAAGAAGAAAGGAGAACAGACCGAGCGGAAGAAAAAAATGTATAAAGTTTTCAGAAAGAGAAAATAAAAATATTAAAGTTAAAGAATAATATGACAGGCAGAGACAAGAGGAGTGAGAGAGAGAAAGAGAAAACAAGGAAAGAGACAGAAACATAATAAAATATAAAGAAAGGGTAACAAAGATAAGAAAAGAGTTAAAGTGAATGAAAGAAAAAAATAGAGAAAGAAAGAATATAAAAAATCAAAATGTACCCGAGGAGGTGCTAAAAATGCCTTGGCCCAACAAGAAACTTTGCAAGAACTTTCTGTTTGGTCAGTTGGTCATATTTTGAAAAATGGATCGGACTGATATTTTAGCACCATGTCATATACACTATTTTGGATTTAATTATGCAAGTCAATATTTTCAATATTAAATCAATATTCACTAACCTAAGTTAGTAACATTTTTCCGCATATATTTAGAACGAAAAATTCCATACTATAACATCGCACTTCTCGCTTGTGGAACTCACTTCCAGCTTCTTGCTTTTCATTCATCTTTGATCTTCAAAAATGTAAATGCCATGTCAATCGTTATCGTCTGTCTTCTGTCTTCATATATTTTATTGTCCTTTTCCTTAACAGTAGGTTTTTTTCTCATATTCTCTAACACTCAGTTACTTCTTTGCTTGGAGTGAAACGATAAAAAAAAAAATAAATACCGTTTACGCTTCAGATTATATCTTTACTTATTAATAAATATACAAAATATATCGTCCACAAAAAAATATTTGACTAATAAAATATTCCATAGGCATGAATAAATTATTATTATTATTTCCTTTGATTTCTGGCGTTTACACATTTCTATCCGGGTCCCTCCCAGGGACCTAAGGTTAGAAATGGCGTCATGACACTTTCCACTGACAAAAAAAAAAAAAAAAAATAATTACATAGATAAAGCCCTTCGTAAAGTGTGAGCTGTACTTGTCAGAACAATTTTTTGTATCTCCTTGAGGCATGGACTTCCAGGAATCCCTTCAATTAGTCTACTGCAATCTTTTCCAACCAGTCCTAGGGCCCCAACTACAATAGGGATTGTTGATGTTCCCATATGCCACATTTTCGAGTACGTGTTAATTCCTTGGATTCGATGACCGCCGTTTGTCGCTGATTGAATCTTAATGTTTTTTTTTTCGTTTGCTTCGCAGCAGTTTGTATTTGTTCTCATAGATTTATTTTTATTTGAAAATTGATTTCTATTCTCACCTCTATTTCTTTTAAAGAGGGATCACTAGTTTTCCGGTAGATTTATATCTGGAGGCCATTCAATAAATAACGTATATTTGAAACATTCTTTGGCAACACTGATGAGCAGTGATACAGCGAAACAGTCTGTCTGTGGATAACAATATATATATATATATATATATATATATATATATATATATATATTGGGAGTATATGATAAACAATTCTAGACGTATGATATGGATAGTGGGCAATGGAAGGATAAAATGTAAATGGTTCTACACGTTTCCTTCTTCGAAAGGACTTCTTCAGACTAATATTTTTCTCGATGGAATCATATATATATATATATATATATATATATATATATATATATATATATATATATATATATATATATATATCAAGGAAACGCCTAAAATCCAGTGACTCTTTACATTAAATTTAAGTTTAAATATTTTGTCGTCCGATTTCTCTAGATGCATAACTTAACTGGCCTCATTCAGTTTTCTACTACCTTTTTTGTCTTTGAAGATAGATAGATAGATAGATAGATAGATAGATAGATAGATAGATAGATAGATAGATAGCAAACTTAGATAGATAGATAGATAGATAGCAAACTTAGATAGATAGATAGATAGATAGATAGCAAACTTAGATAGATAGATAGATAGATAGATAGATAGATAGCAAACTTAGATAGATAGATAGATAGATAGATAGATAGCAAACTTAGATAGATAGATAGATAGATAGATAGATAGATAGATAGATAGATAGATAGCAAACATAGATAGATAGATAGATATGGCCAGAATGAGATAGACAGATAGATATGAACATAATGAGATAGATAGATAGATAGATATAGTCAGAATGAGATAGATAGATAGATATGGTCAGAATGAGATAGATAGATATGAACATAATGAGATAGATAGATAGATAGATAGATAGATAGATAGATAGATAGATAGATAGATAGATAGATATTGAACAGAATATTTAACCTTCTGACATTGACAATTAAGGAACCAGTATTCTCTACATTACGGAATCACTAATATTATATAAAAAAATCTCATAGAATATAAAACAACGTTAGTATAAGGATACTCGCAAATGTTTTCGAAATACTGAAATTTTCTCTTCTTACATTTTGATATAACAACAAAAACAACCGCTAATATTAATAACAATGTATAGTGAAAATACTTTGTGATCGAAGCAATAAAAAGTTAGATACTCGTCAAAATATGTCGGACAATTCAATTTGAAAATCTTTTTTCTTTTCATTACTGAAAACCTCAGATAACACAATTAAGAAAAGAAGCTATAAAATAATTGCATATGAAAAAAAGGAAAACGATAATGTTGAAAAGAAAGAAAGAAAATATCTGAGGAAATGGCGCATCATTTAGAAGAGACACTGAAAGAAAGTTTCAGATGACAGAAAGGAGACGACTACAGAGTATAGGAGCAAAACACGTAGACACGTGAGAATTTTCCCCGAAGCTTCGAGAATATATGAACATTCGGACAATATTGGGCTGATTAAATTTCTTCTGTTTCGCTTGTAAATATTTCATTTGTCCAACAAAAGTTGATTGGCTTTTTCTCCCTTTGCCTTCACCTTAACTCACTTAAGCTTTAACTCATTCACTCTAGTCTCGGGGTGCGGCCGAGATCAGCTTTTAGTGTCGGCTCTTTTCACTTCTTCGGCGGTGGAAGCAGCAGCAGAGACGGCGGCGTTGGTGGAGGAGGAGGCAGCATCATCGCTTTTGCCCGTCTAGGCTTCCGAAAATTGAAGTAAGGGTAAATAACAATGGCAAAGGGACAACGGAATGAAAAACGCGCGAAGCATTCGGTCATGTTGAAAATTAAAACGACAAGGACCAATAATCATCTGACTGCTTTTTTCTTTTTTTCTTTTTACAGAATATCCAATTATTCATATTTACTAAACTCACTTTAGTCTGGCCCACGGGCAAATTTGTGTAGAATATGGGGTAGGTGTTTTTGAAGATATACTGACTACCTTTAAAATCAAACTCCAAATAGATTAAACGTTTTCTAGGCTAGAATATCTACTAGTTTGGTACCAATTAGAAACAGACAATTGATGCCAGAGAATGCAATAGACTTATAAAATAGATTGACAATGGGTAGACTATGTTAGATAGACACGAACAGATTAATATAGCTAGCCACTTAGCTAGTGAAGAGATAGATAGATAGATAGATAGATAGATAGATAGATAGATAGATAGATAGATAGATAGATAATGAACTGGCTTTAAGAGCCACAAATTACTTAGATAGATAGATAGATAGATAATGAACTGGCTTTAAGAGCCACAAATTACTTAGATAGATAGATAGATAATGAACTGGCTTTAAGAGCCACAAATTACTTAGATAGATAGATAGATAGATAGATAGATAATGAACTGGCTTTAAGAGCCACAAATTACTTAGATAGATAGATAGATAGATAGATAGATAGATAGATAGATAGATAGATAGATAGATAG